TTCCCAGGGCCCATGGATGTCCCCAGTGCCCTGCAGCCCTGGGGACAAACAGCTCACAGCCTGACACACAGGGTTTGTGAATTTAAAAGATGTATCTGCAAACTCTCGTGGAAAGCAAATCCTGAATTTATGAAGACAAATAAAAGATCTGTTTTTCAGGATTCTGCTTATTCAACTAAATAAATTGAAATATTTTGTGTATTGTCTCTGTGCCTGGTCAAAACTAGCAAACAACTTCTATATTGTGAATCAGATGCTAACAAATGAAGAAACAGAGAACTTAAGTGAAGCCATAGGGGTCAAACCTGAACTGAGAATATTTGAGAGTCCTCCTGCAGGCTCAGAGGAACAGGCCCATGGACAGGGAGCTCCCACCTGCCCAGGGGCTGTGTTGGAACCTCACCCACCTCACTGGGTGATGGAGACAGAGACTCGATGGGCAAGTTTGGCTTTTAGCTTCGGGTTTGATCTCTTCACTATTCTACAGAATGTCAGTGCTAAACTTGTCACAGTTCTTTGTAGATACATTTCTGAAACGTTGCCAGCACTTACAGAGAGATTAATCTCTCCTTCCTCTCTGCAGGAGTTTTCTTGAGGAAAACATTTAACATATTTGCTCTTCTTTCAAGTAGATTTTGTCTTGCCCTATATAGAAATATCATGAGACGTCAACAAAGGGTATCTATATGCTATATAACAAACACATATCAGTTTAATATTGGCTTGTGAACATCTGACACTTCAGAAGTAGCAGAACTGTGATTCAGTTTCTCAAAAGAAAATGATACAAGGTAGCAGGCCCTAATATATTCTTCTGTGAAGAAATACCTGCAGGCAAGGATAACACACGTACTGTCACGTAAATCCTGCCACCTTTGCTCGGGGAGCTGGCTTTGCACACTCTTCTCAGGAGCTGGGGGGGAAGAGGAAGCTAAAGTTTGATGCAGCCCAGAAAATCCAGGGGGTTCTTGCTTTAACCTTTCATTTCTCCTGCACATCTTCATGGCACTCTGGATGTCACCTTCCTCACAAACAGTGTCTGTCTCTGGCCAGCCTGGTTGCCAGAACACCCCAGGTGTCTAATGCAGAGCAGAGACTGGCCTGGGGACACGCTGGTCCAGCACACACGTGGTGTCAGAGCCTCCCCAAGCTGGCTGGGACTGTTTCTCTGTGAGCACAGGAACAGGGGCCTGGTGGGATATGTGGGGAAGCAGCCGATGCTGTAGGATGTTAACAGTGTTTTAAAGCTAGAATCACAAGCTCCTGAGCTACTTTGGTCCTACAAAACCCACAGGGAAGCTTCTGTGAGGGTTTTGGGTAGGATGGGATGGAAGAACCTGAAAATTATGAAAATCTAGAGGTCAAAATTACTTCTGATGAATGTCATGCCAGATGAATATGTAAAAAATACGTCTAGTTACTCTTTCCCTACTTTGTACGTTACTTTTGTACTGAACTTGACTGCAGTCTGTCATTATGGATAGAAATATGTCTTATATCGTTTGAAAAATGAGGCTGATGATGAAACATAAAGCCTTCTGCTGCTTACAGCAACAGTTATTGGTGATGACTTTTCAGAATCCTTTTAGGATACTTTGGCTGTGGGTTGAAGTAATAACTGAGGGGAAAATATCAGAGCATTCAGTCAGACGGGATATAATATTTTTTCTCATTGAATTTAAATGGGAAATAAAAGAGATCAAACATTTCTGGTAAGATTTTTACTCCATAGAGTCACTGCTGTAACTTCATTGGCTTCATCAGGGCAGCATCCTGTATCTTCCATATTTGCTTACTTACCTGTGAAGTCAATCAGACAGAAAGGGTGGGCTGCTAATTAAAAAAAATAAGGTGTTGTAAACCTCCTTTAAGAAAATGAAAATTGGAAATATGTTATAGACTAATTTCACTTTGTAGCACCACGATTTTCAGTTTTAACTTCAGATTTTCCAGTTGCTTTCAAAATACGTGGAAAAAAAAGTCAGTTTGTAATTTCTCCAGTGTTTCTTTCATAGTTAAAACTATTGAGTTGTATGACAATGTACACTGAATATAGGAAGGGAGATTATCTCTTCTTTAGTATCTAATTGTTTTATTATTACTATTCTTTTCTTGTCTACAAATGCAGAAAATTTTAGGATTTGTTTTAAGTAAATGACATTATTTAAATTCATAAATTTGCTTAAGCCTCAGTGGGTTACTCTGGCTTGTAAGGCTATTACTTTCCCAGTTGCAAGCAATAATGATACTGCAAAGATATTCCATTGGAGAAAATATTTAAATAAACGCTCTTCATCCAAAAATGAGATGCAGCATATTTACATTTTTATTTGATGAAGCCTGTTCCTGCTATCTTTGTTCTTAATTTGGTCTCTAAAGAATTAGTAGTAAGAGGAAAAATAGTCTGTAAATATGTATGAAATCAAATTTAGAGGGTAGGCTAAAAGGTATTGACTGCCAGCAGTGCTGAACAGCAGGAGGCAAAATTTCCTCCATAGTTTTCTTCTTGGCTGGAAACACATTGCCTTCCATCTAGATTATTTAATCCTCCAAATGCACATCAAAGCTTCTCATCGGGTGGTGTGTGTCTTTACAGGCAGCTGAATGTCAAAGATCTAGCTTAAAGATTTTTTGAGAAATGTAAAACATAATAGATCCCAGATAATAACCCAGCAGTGGAGCTCCTGGGCGAGTCCTTCCAGCCAAGTATTGGTGCCACAGGTTGGAGTTAATCTTTGCGGCAAAAGGAGGAGCAAATCTTCTACGTGAGGATTTGTGACATCCTTCCAAGAGATGGAAACAAAGTGATCGAGTCATGTTACTGGACTAATATTGGCTTGTTAACAATTCCCATCTCTCTTTACACTTGTGCCTTGCCAGAACAATGGGCTGTGAGTTATCTCACTCCTCCAGCCCAATTAGACACTGGAAAAATGGATGCAAAATATGCATGAAACATTTTCCGCTCGAATATTCCTAACGGGATGCAGCTTCAGCACTGTCCCTCTGATTCAATTCAGTCTTTGGCAAGAGCTTATTCCTTCTAAGGATTGCATCAATTCTCATGAATGATTGTCTCATTCTTAGGGAGTATCTTAAAAACCTTTTTAACAATTTTGGTTTCTGTTTCTGAGCTTGAATTTTGCTCTGACATGAGTATATAGAATAGCCAGGCATTGGTGAGGAGTCCCACAAGGAGACTTTGCAGGAACGTGGAACCTAAGAATGTTTTGCATAAAAATAAAAAGAAAAGGGGCAGAAATAAAAAAGGAAGGAGGAATTAAAAAACCCACCCCTTTTCATTCTGCAGTGTAGATTTCGTGTTCTTCCTTTTTGCATTAAACTTTCCTTCATTTTTATTTGTTTAAGTGCCACTGATACAATATTTCCTATAGATGGCTCAGCTGTGACACAGAAATAAGGCTGATTACTCAGGGGTTTCATTTCACATCTGTTTAAGACAGCCTTATTTTTTAAATCCTGAGTAGTCTTGTTCCCATCTCTATCCATGACCTTCCCTTTCTTTTTTCTTCTGTTATCCTCTCCTTGCAGTCCCTTTCCTTTCAAGCAGCCTTCTCTCTGGTGGTGTGGAGCTCTGGTTGTGCTGCCTGGGCTGGCTGCAGAGGAGCCTGGCTGTGTGCTGGGGCTCAGGGCTTGCCAGTCTGTGCCCAGGGGGCGATGCTGTCAAGGGGGGGCTTCACTTCTGCCTTTGCTTCTCTCTTGGTAGGCAAAGGAGCCAGCATTTGCTCTGCTTTCTGAGTGCAGAGCAGCCAAACATCACCCTCAGTGCCTTTGACTGGGATGTGAGAGACTCAGCAGAGGCAGGGAATGATTTGTGCAGTGTGTGGCCTTTCACTGCTCATTGAAAACTGGTCTGATGAGATGCAAAGCCACAAGTCCTGTTCAATTCACTGGCTGATTTAAGGGCTCCTTGTGTCTGAGAAGTGCTCAGGGCTACTCAGGGTGAGACTGTAGCAGGGACATTACTTTGTTGTCAGGCCAGTGCAGAAGTGCACAAAATCAGCAGCACTGCCCAGTGAACTCAACAGTCAGCAAATAGTAATCCATCTTGCACGTAATCCTACACTAATTATTTACAATAAGAAGAAGATTTAACATCAAAGAAATGCATCACAGTGGGCATTATGTAATTAACTAAAGATGTATTGCATCCAAGCAATGGGGAACGTGCATTTATCACCTTGAAGCATTACTTTAATTTTTTCAATATTCTTTTAATATTCTTAGTGGTTTCAACATATTATTTTTTATTATTATTAATTGTTCATTTGACATAAAACCACCATAATACTATCTTTTTTTTCCCTTTTTTAAATGATTTCAGGAAACTCAGCAAAATTTCCAAGAACAAGTATAAATGACTGTAAATGTAATGCTTCTTATAGTCACAATCTCTGTTTCTCAGGCTAAGTGTGATTGCTTAATCCTTAAAGTGATTTGTTTAGAAAAGCCTGTTTTTATCCTGTTCACTAAATGATATCACTGAATACAGAATAAATATAGAGCTTGTAGAAGTTCATGGAAGATTTTTTTGGTGAAAAAATAGCTACAAAATTAAAATTAAAAATCCTTAGAAAGGAAGGGGGTTTTCTACTAAAAAACAAATTGATGTTGGGCAAATACAACCCCTTAATCTTTTATGTGGCATCCTCTGTGAACAGATTTTATAACAATTCTGTATATTCTGAAGACAGAAACTTGATGTCAGGGCCTTTCATCTCTGGTCAGCAGAGTAGTTTGTCAGGAGAGTTTTCAACTATAAAAGCATCAATAACTCATCAGAATATTTGTTGGGCTTTTCTGACAAAGGAAGCAATTGTCTGTCAAGAAGAATGGGAGTTTCCTTGCCTTGCCCAGGCCCAGGTCCCGCAGTTGCCGGGCTGTTCCCCTCCTTTGAAGCAGGACTGTCCTCACACTGCAGTGCTGGCAGCACAGAGCAGCAGGACCTGCAGGGCCTTCCCGGGGGGACACAGGGCAGTGACACCGGTAAGGAACGGCTCACACAGGGCAGTGACACCGGTAAGGAACAGCTCACACAGGGCAGTGACACCGGTAAGGAACGGCTCACACAGGGCAGTGACACCGGTAAGGAAAGGCTCACACAGGGCAGTGACACCGGTAAGGAACGGCTCACACAGGGCAGTGACACCGGTAAGGAACGGCTCACACAGGGCAGTGACACCGGTAAGGAACAGCTCACACAGGGCAGTGACACCGGTAAGGAACGGCTCACACAGGCATCACACCCAGGGGGACAGAAGGAAACTTCAAGAATAAGAGTTCACAACTGGTGTTCCTGGTTGGAAATGGAGCTGTTGGAGTCCTGAGATGCCGGTGGGTTGGGAAGCCCTGTGGAGAGGTGAGGATTAACCCCTGGGGACCCAGCAGATCATAACTGTGCATGGAAATAAACAATCCAGCTGCTTAAGGGTTATAGGAATTTAAATGCAGATAGCACTTGGTAATAATACCCGAGGGACTGATGTTGTAGGCAATTTGTGGAGGATGCAGCACTGTAAACTTAGTTTTTGGTGCTGGTTTCCTTAGAAACTGGAACAAGGTATTATTCAGGACACAAAATAATATCCTGTTTCAGTGGCTGAGGATCTTGAACTAAAAAGTAATTGATTTTGCATGAGGCAGTGGATTGTCATGTGCTTTTTCTAGGAACTGTTATGGCACATGTCTGTATGTTGGAATTGTTTCTGATCTGCTGTTTTAGTTCCAGTGATCTCACTCTGTAAGTACTGAAACTGTTGAAAACTGTTTAAAATTAGCTTTTAAACCATTCAGGGGGTCAGTTTTAAGTACTTCATTAATAATCTAATCACTCCCCAAACATGCCCACTGTTCTGCTTCTTATCAGGAAATAAATCTTCCCGTGTATCTCTGTCATGAAACACCACATTTGATGTGTTTAGCAAGTAAATGTGTATAAAGTACATCATAGACTTATGAATAATCCCTTTTGGAATATGGGATAAACACAGATAAAGAGCCAGGGAGAACTGTAAATAGTTGTGCCTACAGGGAGGCATTGAGGTTATTTCCAGATTTTTTCCATGAAGTTGCAGAGTACCTGAATGAAGCATTTCTTCAGACTGTCTGGTAAAGTTGTATTAGAGCTGGGCAGTGTTGCTCTCATTTGTGCACCTATTTGAACAGTTAAGTGTGTATATAAGAATGTTTAGAACACGTTCAAATTTGAATGAACAACTCAAATGGCCACTGGAAACCAGTTCCTTAAAGGTGGGAACAGTGGCTTGCTGAAAATTGAGTCCATGGTAGCCTGGACTGGGCACTTGGAAAATAAACTGAGGTTTTTTTGTAAGTAGTGGTCTGGTTTATAAAACTAGTTTTATGGAATACTAGATGCTCTTTCTCCAACTTCAGGTTTGAAAAATGTTCTATTAGTACCTTATGCATTTATTGTATAATTTCAAAAATCTTATCAGAGGTATTGCTAGTGAGCACACATTGCTTCCTAGTCAAATTTCTAAAGAGTTATTTGTTAAAAGACCGTTCTTAGTTTTTTATTTTCTCAAAATATGTGATACATTTTTGTTTTGTCTGTTCTCTGTAAAACAAATACAAGACAGTTATCGCTGGCAAAATGAAATTCCATGCTTCATATAAACCTTTTTATCATTGTGTTTTTGTGAAAACCATTATTTTGTGGATGCTAAAAATAGATGAAAGGTTATTCATAATCAATTTTGCCAAAAAAAGGATTTTATAAAAGGCACTTCCTCAAATTTTCTTTCAATATACTACAGTTTACCATATATTTATGTGAACACATTTTCATGTCAACTTGGAACGTGTATCTTGCATATGTCACTTTTATCCAAGAAATACTCTTTTTTTTTTTTTTTTTTTTTTTTTTTTTTTTTTTTAGTTCCAAATGCTCTCTGCACCCAGAAGTTCATTGTCCAACAGTTTTCCTACAAGGACATTGCAGAAGAATCCATAAGGTACAAATATGCTATTATACATTCAGGTGCTGTTCAGGTATTAATGTTATGGCAAAGAAAAGTTGGAGCTTTCATGAATTTAAATATTTTTCATATAAACTCTGTAAATATAATGATTAACAATCAGCTACATTCACTATTCAAGACATGCAATGTAGCATTTTTCTAATTACACTTACCAGTGTGGGAGGATATGACTGCAGAGGAAGATTAAACTATTTGTATTTATTCAGTGTTGCTTTATAGCATTAACCAGGAAACTCACTTTTGCAGTGTTGAATGCAGGAATCTGGAATAACCTGAAGAATTCCGTTAGGGTGGGAGCAGCCTGAGCCAGGCTTGGGCAGGGATGGCAGGCTCAGCTCATTCTGCATCACAGTCATTTCAGCTGCCTCTCTCATCTGTGATCTCACTGTTGATAGTGTGATTCAAAACACAGGCGAAATTACTGCTTAATATTATGGCTTTGTCTAAAGCTCTTCAAGTAAGCCAAACAAACAGAAAAAGCCCACCTGGCAGGCAGGCTCCTGTTTGCAGGTATTCATGTTTTATTAAAATAAACACGTAGTTTGCAAGCAGTGGAACTAATGAAACCTGGTGTGCCTTAGCTCTGTGTCTAGTGATGGCATTCTGTGCAGGTTTATAAAGCACAACTCAAACTGAAGATTTCCCTGAAATTAGGACATGGATAATGTCCCTTCTGTCCCACGGAATCTCTGGTGCCTGTGGAAAGATGAGCTCATATTTCAGTCTTTCCCAAAGCACACGTCCTAATTGTGTTGTGTTTTTTTTTCCTGTTTCTTTTAACAGCAGCCTATTCACACAACATTTAAAGAAGCTAAGGATCTATATAGCTACATCAGATATTGGGAAAATAGGGAAAAAATCGGCAACTTACTGGGGACAGGAAAAATATGTAAACAGAGTCCTTCCCCCTGCCTCTGTCTCCTGGTCCACATCAAAAGGCACTGTGGAGTCTGGGTTCCTCAGGACAGGAGGGATATGGACCTGTTGGATGGGTCCTGAGGAGGCCAAAAAGCAAATTAAAGGGATGCAGCACCTCTGCTATGAGGAAAAGGCTGAGAGAGTTGGGGTTGTTGTGGCAGGAGAAGAGAAGGCTCCAGGGAGACCTTCCTGTGGCCTTTCACTGTGGGAAGGGGGCCAGGGAGAAGGACAGCAGGGCCTGTTGGGACAGGACAGGGGGGATGTTGAAACTAAAAGAGCATTGATTTGGGTCAGACAGAAGGTTGGAGGTTCAGAATGAGGGTGTTAAACACTGGAAGGGGTTTCCCACAGAGGCAGGGACACCCCACCCCTGCAGACATTTCAGGTGGGGTTGGATGGGGCTCTGAGGGAGAACAGATCTGGTTGAAGATATCCCTGCTCAGAGCAGGGGGGTTGGACAGGGTGACCTTTGGGTGTCCCTCCCAACCCAAACTGTGCTGAGATCTGTGCTCCTGAGGCAAGGCTGCAGAGTCCCAGTTTGCCTGCAGGGATGACCCGAGGAAGGAGTACCAGCTCCTTGTGGGGCCCCCTCCCAGCAGTGCCAGAGCTGGGATTGTCCCCCTCTGGTTTTATTTTAATGGCCACGGAGATACTGGAGTTGAGTGGAAGATTTATGCTGGCTGATGGGGCTGTGCTTGCTGCCAGCTCATTCTGAGGGTTGCTCCACCTTGTCATCCCTGTCATTCCATCCTCTGATGTCAGAGGTGTCGGTCTGGCCCTGGTTGTCTCCACGCTCCTCTCAGGAAAGCTTGGAGAAATCTGGTGCTTATGATTCATTATGGTCTTGAGAAGCTTTGTGAAACTGTTTTGTTAGATTCTGTAACAGACTTAGATGTTTTAGTTTTTCAAAAAATAAATGTTGGAATGTGGGTGTAGTTGTGTAATGGTTCACCTTCACAGGACAAATTATATATGGTTTCTGCCTGTGGTAGAGAAGGGAAACGGATCCTTCAGTGTATTACTTTGTTGATTTGTAGTGTATATGCACAAATTAACAAGGATGTTTTAGTTCAAATACCCTGATGAACTGTTAGTGTAGTCAGACTGTGTTAAAATAATTCCAAAATTAATGTTTGACGATGTTGACACTTTGGTGATGCTGTGATGTTTACATCACAGCAAACATGACTTTAATCAACTGAGTGCAGTGCTTTGAGAATATTATATTGAATAGGTGGTTTTAAAGGCTAAAGAGTGAGCCCTGGGATCCCAATACTGGGCATTGTTTGTTAACTGGCCACACTGTGAGTGGTGGGAGATGGTTCCAGTAGGACTTGGTGAGAGTGCTTATAATATAATAATCAAGACTAATAAATATTTATCTAGTTGTTTATTCTAGTCCCTGATATTTACTATACATAGAAACATAATTTATGTAAAAACTGAAAACAGATTGTATAAGTCTTTCTAGAAGGTCAGTTAATAACAAAGTGCTTTACTACCTGGGCTTTGCTTGGCAGTCAAACACAGATTCAAATGGGAGAAAAAATGTGATGGAGACAGAAGATGGGGGAAAAAATGAGTGTGTTAAGTATTTGTACCCATCTATCTGCTGAAGTTCCACTTTTGCTGTTTAAGAGGAATTGGTTGGTTGTTCTTTGATTTTTAATTTTTTTAAAGCTTTTTTAACTTCTGCTAAAAAAGCTGCCAATGCTTCATTCTGCATTATTTGTTTGGAGTTTGACTTTATTCTAAAAGCAACCTCAGTGTTTTTAGCACTACAAATTCACCAAATGGATTCTCAGAGACATTAGTGCAAAAATAAAGAAGAAAGGAAAACAAAGCCAGAAAAAGAATACTACTTGGAAATTATGTAAAACCAATATAGCAAGACCATCAAAGTGCTTTAAAATCTACAGAAATGTAAAAGGCAAAGTATTATGTTTGTGTAGTTTAGCATATTGTTCTCTAGAAGAAGGACTGAACTTGCAATCATTGCATGCAGAACAGATTTCTGCATATTTGAACATCCCTGTTCCCTTGGGATTTACAGTCTTATTCTTTTGCATCTTTTCTTGCATTTAGAGAGTAAGTTTTTTGAGCTGTGGACTTTCTAAACTTAAAATACCAGAGTCCTTTTTAAAAAGTGTGTATGGTGAGATTTTCCTGCAGCTCCTAAATGCTTCACAGAAGTGTTAATTAGCTGATACTGCCCATTATCCTGCTTGCTAAATGAGGCCCCATCAGAGGGTAACACCAGCAGAAATGCTTCCACCCCACAGTGGTGAGAGCAGCTCCTGCCCAGTGCTGGTGTTTGTGCTGGGATGTGTGGTCCTGGATATCTTACACTCACTGTGCCCTGCACTCTGATCATTCAGAGAGCCACCTGCCATCAAGGTGCCATTTGGCTCATAATGTTTAGGGAGGTAAAGCCTTAAACCCAAAGAGTGGTCTGAAAACTTCGTGCAGTGTCCAAATGGACACAAATTTTAGTGGTCTGAAAACTTAATCCAGTGTCCACATGGACACAAGTTTTATCACTCTCTACATGGAACCTCTCAGAAGTGTACATACTTGAAAAGAATAATGTACCTGCACCTTCAGATGATACAAGACATAGGGTGCTGGTAGCAGCCCATCTTGTATTTTCCCTGTTTCCTCATTTCCTGCACTAGCAAGTGCTGTAGATCTCAGAAGGTGTAGGCATGGAAATTTTTAATTACTAAATTGGTTTGTAGTCAGCTGCTCTAAATTGCACGGGGATGTGGAAAAAGGAGAGTTATATATGGGACTATATTGCATTGAAAATAAAGGGATTTAGGAACAGCTGCTGAAAGAAGAATCCTGGTAATCAGAAAAGTATTAAACTGTGAGAGTAGTACAGGGTAATGTCATTTTCTGGGATGGTGGAATTTATTGTTGTGATTCACACGTTTCTAGTCATGATAGATGGGAGCAGAGAATCCTCAAAAGGCTTGTGTCTGTCTTTCCTGGAGAAGGTGTTTTTAGACATGAATTATAGTGCATCATCTGGCTTTGGTAAATAATCTAATGGTGTTTTTAAAAGCAAGTCACAGTAGACCCTGTGTTTCCACATAAAACTGTGTATAAAAAAATTATATGAGATAGGTTTTATTTGGTTTTGTTTGTTTGATTTTTTTTTTTTTTTTAATACTATGGCATAGAGGTCAAGTTGTCTTTGACCGTGAAGAGAAGTTTAAGTTTGTTTTTATTTGTTAATTCAGACTTCTTGTAGGGCATGTGCTAGAAAGCTCATGTATCAAAGCCTTAACTGTGGCTTTAAAGACATTTTGTGTTCATTAATTTTGATAAGTCATAATTTGGACTGGGTAGAAGAGGGCCAGGGGAATTATCTTTTTTTTTTCCCTTGAATATTCTGCTTTACTTGGAATCATGTTATGCAAGGGAGAAAAACAACCAAACAGAACCTGCCTGGTGATGTGTCCTCACAGCTGCTTCTGCAGCTCATAAACACTGCTCAGCAATTCAGCACTCAGAGCTGGATGAAGATATCACAAGTGGAATTAATCTCCTCTGGCCTAAGCGAGTTTTAACTCCGTGCTTATGCCAATTCCCAGTGAGAGGAGCCCATCTAGGCCCAGAGCATCAGTTCTTTACTTCCATTGTGTACCACTGTGGATTTCTGGCAGTTTGTGAAGGCAAAGCCTGATTCTGCATCTTTATCTGAAGTTTCAAACTGCTACAGGCTGAACCATCCTGCCAAAGACATTTCTTTTCTCTGTCTTTCCAGTCTGGTGAACTACCTCTTTATTTTTTTATATTTTTTTTTGTGAGACTGGGATCCTGTGCAGATGAATTGCAGGAGGTTTGCTTGATGAAAAGTTACCACAAGAAAAAAGCTTGTAACTGAGTTCTTTGCCCCAGAAATAGAGATCCGTGTCAGACTGTGGGGTTGTGGGGACACGAAGAAGGGGAGAGCCCCCAGCTGCCACTGCTGCAGTTCCCTGCAGGGCTCCAGGGCTCCCTGCAGCTGGGTGGGACCTGCCCAGCTCAGGGGTGGCCCTGCTGCCAAC